TAAGCCCGAACCAGGTGAAAGAATTTGGATCGGGCCGGGTTGGCCCAACCCGTGGTCCAACAGACACATTGGACCAGGTTGTCCGTGCTGGCTCGGTCCAAACGGTCGCATTTGTCACCGTTGCCCAGGCGGCCTGGGCCTGGCTCAGTGCAACGGTCACATTTGTTTTTACCGTTATGTGACCGTTGCGCTGGGCTTGGCCCGGGTTAGCCCGGACCCAGTCCGGTCCAACAATCACAAATTTGATCATTGCATCAAAGTGCCTAGGCCGGCACGGTCCAAATGGTCACATTTGTGACCATTGCCCGGACCCGGTGCAACGGTCACAAAATGTGACTGTTGTACAGGGTTGGCTCGGACCCGGCCTGGACTGGTCTAACCAAAATAGTCTATAAGAGTTATTTTTGGTTTTTTGGTCGAAATATCCCCAAAAACAATTAAAAAGGTTAAAATTTGAGGTTATTTGGGTCATTTGGCTAAGGACTGCCTTTATAAATAGAGGAGAATTTCATTTGTTTTGCTCATTCAAAAGTCATCTACTTATCTTACTCTCTTATACTCTCAAATACTCTCTTATTCTCTTTGTCTTTAATTCTCCAATCAAATGGCTTCCTCTTCGATTATGAAGGGCAAGTTCCAACTCCCGATATTAAAATGACTCCTACTCGTATTCCTACTATACCTACAGATACTCCTCCTACCGATGTTGATCCTGAATCCGATGACGATGATCCCACACCTAGAGCTCTAAAAAAAGCCAAAATCCGATGTGTGGAATTTTTTCGAGAAGATAGAAGTCACTAAGGATCAACACAGTAAACTTCTTACCCAGAAAGCTAAATGTGCATTGTGTGGCCATATTTTCCAAGTTCATCATAAAAGAGGCATCAACAAACTCAAACACTATTTAGAAAAGCATAATAGAGCTCAAGCGGCAATGTCTCAAGAAGATATCCGTTAGTCTCCACTCTCTCAATCATCAACCTCTGGTAGCCTCAGTTCTTGGAACTATGACGCAATTGAAGCCAGTAAATGCGTCATCAGGTTTATTGTTCTTAAAACCATTCCTTTTAAATTAGTAGAAGATGATGGATTTGAGGATTGATTAGAGATGGTTTTTATCCCTCATTTAAAAAAATTTCTCATCAATTTTATCAACGGGATATTTTAAAATATTATCACGATGAATAAATAAAAATAATTTCTTATTTTCAAAATTTAAACTGTAAATTTTCTCTAACTTCTGATATTTGAACATCTAGAGCACAAATTAGTTATTTATGTATCACAACACATTGAATTGATGATAGTTAGCAACTGTTTAAAAGAGTTATTTTTTATTGCATTTGAAGATTCTCACACTGGTGTTAATATTGCAAATTTCATAATAGAACTTTCAAAATTAGAAATTTCTGAAAAAATATTTTCTCTTTCGATATATAATGCAAGCAATCATAATGTAATTGTACATCATATCAAATCATCTTTGTTATTGTCAGGTCATGGTGATATTTTTCATATTAGATGCATGTGTCATATTTTAAATTTAATTATTAAAAGTGCATTTAATGAAATTAAACTCATGATAGAAAAAGGTTAGGGTTATACATTATGCTAATAATGTTTCTTAACAAAAACTTAAAAGATAGAAACAATTCTGTAAATGAAAAAAAATTGAAACCCAGGCTAATTCAAAAAGATATTGATCATATGTAGAGTTTTACCTATGCAATGTTAAATGTAGCGACAGAGTATAAAAAAATTATAAATATTTTTATTGCTTTCTATGCTTCTAGCTCTAGCTCTGGTAGCATGTACGAAATAACTGATGAATAATGGACAGTTATATATAGTGTAAAAGAGATATTACAAGTTTTTTATAATACTACTATGTTATTATCTGGTTGTTATTATCCAGCTATTATTCAAGTTGTTCTATAAATTTTAAATACTCAAAAAAATTTAATCACTTATCATATGGATAATTATTTTGAAAATATGATTTCTCAAATAGAAAGTAAATTTAATAAGTATTTTAGGTCTATTCCTATTATAATTTGGGGATTCTTATCGATCCATATTTGAAGGATGTTGGTCTTTAAAATTTATTAAATTCTTTATATGAAAATATGATAATAGACACTGATGATGGTCAGATTGTTACTTCTCTTACTCATTATAACACTATTAAATATTATTTTCAAAGATTATATGAGGAGTATGCAAGTAGATATTGTGTAAGTACACATCAACCTACATCTTCTGCTTCTACGAGTTCAAGCTGGGGCAAATGTAAGAGTTTTGACAGGCAATTAATAATAGCGAGGCTAACTGGTAGCCATGGATCTGGATGTGGATCATCATCAAAGAAAACTTCTAAAATTGAACAATATTTATCCGCATCTTTAGTTAATGCTCAAATAATAATTTCGATATTTTACAATCGTGGAGTGTATATGAAACAGTTTCATATCCTATACTTTTCATCATTACTCGTGACTTACTAACAGTGCAGGTTTCTACAATAGCTTCGGAACCCACTTTCAGCATATCAGGACGTTTGATCGACAACCACAGAATATCGCTAGCTCCGTCTATCGTACATGCGGTAATGTGCCTACAAGATTGGTGGAGGTCCGAGAAGAGAACTTAAGGCATCAATCGGATGGCTAGTATTGAAGATAAACTTAATGAGTTGACAATACTATTGGCCTTCTTGTTTTGATGATGATTTATAAACAATTTACATCTAATATTGTTTGTCTAGTGTTCGTGCTTTATATTTATTCTAGGCAAACAATATGTTGGAGGATGGATGGAATTGCGCTTCAACGATGATATCCAAAGGAGGTTGGCGGAATGTCGGGTTGAAGCCTATAAAATTCAAGTTAAAGATCAAGTTCAAGCTTTATCCGCAAGTGTAACAAGCCAAGCTTAATTGAAGATCAAGATTGCTTGGGTAATGTAGTTTTAGATTTTATATTATGTGTGTTATATACTCTAAGCTCAATATCATACACACACACACATTTATTGGTTTCCATGTATATATATAGTTATATATATACATATATATTTTGGTTTGATAGTTTTCAAGTTTTACTATGAAACAATTGAATACAATTGGAAAACATATTTTTGTTTCATACTTAATACATTTATATGATTTCATCAATATCAATTTTATTTAGTTCCATAAAATCATGTTTTAGTGTATTATATGTGTATTTTGATAAAATACTATATTCACTATTTATAGACTTCATAACAATAGTTTACATCTTCTATTAAGTCTATAAAATCATTTTGTAAAGTTTCAAAAGTTGGTTTAGCCAAAATGTTAAAATTCACATGTTTACATTTTCGTGTTTTGGACTATCTTGCAAAATGATGATATTTTTCATTTGGGAAGTCCTTTTTCGAAACCAGACATTGTGGCATGTTTATTATCATGTCTATAATCATTCCCCAAAGTTTTATATTTTTTGGAATTTATTTGATATTTTTAAACAGTGTTTTAAAATCAGATAAACAATTTTTCATAACCTGTCATATCTGTTTTCGGTCGACCGCACCGGTCGACCGAACCTGAGTTCATATGTTCTCTGGGCGACAGAGAGTCTGTCGGTCGACCGGTCCGGTCGACCAAAAGCTCCATCGGTCGACCGCACCGGTCGACCGACGAAGTCTCTGCTTGTTTCTTTGTTTTTCAGACCTGCTCGCGGTCGACCGGATTTTTTTTAAACAAGGGTTTAGGGTTTTACTGTTTGTTTAAAAGATTGGGTTTCTGTTTACAAAGGAGGAAGTTTTCACTGCAGATTGAGGGATTCATTCTCAATCCTCTTCATCCTCTTCTTTGTGTTTATAGAGAAGTTTTCTAACTCTTTTCTCTAGCAATTTCGTTATTGATTTTCATATTCTTACTATTGCTAGTTTGCTATTTGAGTTAGATTTTATTTTACTCATTGTTACACACACCCACATTGAGCTTATTGTATCTTCCATACATAGTATAGTTGGGTGGTGAGAGATTGTAACTTTGAGTTGTGCTTAATTGAGTTCTCATCCATAGTTGAGAACAATCATTTGTTATATTGTGCTTATTGTGAGATTCACTTTGTAATACACTTGTACACCGAGTGAGGAGTGTGTGGTGAGAGTCGGGGATCGTCCCAAGAGGAGTGGCGTCGGTTGACGTGCCTAGGGAGAGGTTGTAACCGAGCACTTGAGGGAGACACGGCTAGGTCCAACACTTAGTGGGTGTAGAGTGTGATTGCAAGAGTGTGAGTTGTAGAGTTTTCGGTTAGCTAGAAAACCGAGTGTGTAGAAGAAGTTCCGGCTTCCAAACCGGATTGTGTTAGTGGATTTCTCCCCGGGAGTGGGGAGCGGAGACGTAGGACGGAAAGTCCAAACTCCGTGATCACTTGATTGTATTTGAGTGTGCTTTGGCGTTCATTTATATTTATGTTCATATCTTATATCGCCATTGGCCATAGCTCATTATCTATATGATCCACTATT